AAGAGCATAGATGTATCTGTAGTAGATGTTCCCATTTTTACTTTAAATAATTTGTTTATGTTTATCGACCTGCGTATCCTAGAAATCTAAATAACAAAGAGGTGCTCTCCGCCAATGATCGAACCTGAATACCTCTCTGTAGAATAAAATATCGTTTGATCCGGCGGGTTTTACTATTCGGATACAGAGAGCGTCACAGTTCAGCAAGGCAATTCTTCTCCTTTAAGGAAAGCACACATTATCATTCTGATATTTTTTCGAAAAGTTCATATCTGCTTAGTATTGTATCCGTGAACAAAGCAAAAGAATTAACCCAGGGTTTTAATCCGGCGTTTGTATTACTTCAAGCGTTATTACAGTTCTCGTATTTGATCTCATTTAATTCTCGTATTTGAAAAACTAGGAATGGAGTATCTATTTCGTATACGGGTATCCACTATAATAATTGAAGTACTAATATATATATATATATATATATATATATATATATATATATATATATATATATATATATATATGTTGTATAAAATGACAATAGGAAAAATATCTTAGATTTTGCCGATGCGTTTCGTCTTCCGACTTTTTCAAGACAAAAATGAAATCGAAATGTTTTTGTGGTTATAGTTACATTAAAAAATCCAAATTTAAAAAGATAGAAGCTTCTGTCTAAGCCTTTTTTTCTGGTTAATATAAATTACCTTTATAGTAAGGGAGTTTTTTTTTCCATGTCGACAATATTGTTAAATTCCCGGATCAATTCTGTGATTTTCAATTTAGATTTCAATTTTTCCATATCGACAATATATCGACAAATAAAAATATAGGCAAAAAAATTTCCAATTGTCATTCTATACCAATCTGTCTTATTGATCAACATATATTTATTTAGGATTGTAGTTAATCAAATTCAACCGAAAATTATACGTGGAGCCTATTGCGCAAAGCCCGAAATAAGTCATTATGTTTTATTTAAGCTATGAAAGAGGTAACTTCATGTTTCTGCTCTTAGTGTAACAATATAACTTTTTTCCCAGAAAACGGAATATTTGGTGTTTTCTTTTTGTGTGTTGGTTTTGAGTCGTAAAAATATGTTCTCTTTTTTCCATTTACCGGTTCTACTGGATTTGGTTTCAGTTATTTGGTTTTCATTGTCAGCTCCATCGACATGAAACTGGAAATTGTTCAGTTTAGGATTTCTTTTGTCAGAATCCATTGACTTTGTAGTTTTAGAAATATATGCTGATTTTAGTCTGTTAATGGAAACATTTCTATGCAAATTATCGGACATTTATGATTGTAAAATATTTATTATATCGAATTATTACTTGGAATGGGCCTGTGTACGGCGCTTCCAAATGTTTTTCTACTCTATTTGTTCTCAAGCAAATATATTCACATCTTTGTAAATCTGAAGGAATATATTAATTAGGTATAGAGTACAGATGTTTGCTGGAAAATGTGTCCATGTGAAATCTTTGCATCTCTTCAGCTAAAGTCTTGATGTGAGAGTTTGTTAATTCTATGTCTTCATTTTCCGAAGGATCAATTAACAATCGAGGATCTTGAGCCTGAATTCCCGTTAGTGCAGTAAACGGGGATTAATTACCAATCTGTCTTGTTCACAGAATTGATCTGGGAATTTATTATATATATATATATATATATATATATATATATATATATATATATATATATATAACCCTCAAACGCTTTTTTTTTTCCCCATTCACCATCTCCGTTAATTTTGTTGAGTAATTTCCTCTTCAGTTAGGGCCAGTATGTCGTCTCGATAGCTTTTATTCAATTTACCTCAAATCTTAAGGTATTGCGGTTGACGGCGATATCTAGTGGTGGGCCAATATGTACGTTGTGTACCGCAGAAGAGACATGAGCAATTTTCCTCAGTGTGCCCGTGGTAAAATTTGTCTTTGCGTTCGAAACAACGTCGGGAAGGAAGGCCGAATTAAGAACTCTTTCAATAAAATGTACAACACTTTTTATTGAATATTAAAACTAGTGAATAAAATGTCTCTATTATCTACAGTAATAAAACTAAATTCTGCCCCGGTGGATGGTGATTTGAGAAATCTAGTAGTACTTGCTGAATTAATGACTAGCCGGATACCTCTCACTTAATTCTTCCGTTCCGCGTATGTCTCTCTATTCGCTCTACGGGAATGGCGATTATATTCTTTAGCGACGTTTCTTTTACGATGCAATCCGGAACAAATCCGAGTCGACTTTCTCTCCTGGCCCCGAGTTTCTTTCGGTTTGAGCTCAGTAAGTTTTCGTTTATATAGATACCCACTAAAATTAGACGTGGTTTTCTTTGTTTAAAGAATTTCGCTCAGTCTCCTTCTGTAAGCGATTGGGGCAGGTAGTATTAATGTAAACAAACCCTGATTTGGGATTTAGACATAAGCCACATTGCTTTCTTTGTTTAAGAATTTAGGACACTCTTTTTCTGTAATGATATAAACGTTTTGGGCTAATAATATTAATGTAAAATATAGCCCAAATGCCAGGTCTCAGAAACAAAAAATTTGGAAAACGCATTAAGCATGACTTCTTATCAGAGGGAAGTGGATAGATTCGGAAAATATTTGGTTTTGCTCAATTTTACTGAATCTTTACTAGTTATTTCTATGTTCGATTCTCTTTGTAACCGTTCTTAGATTCATTTTATTGTTTTTCTAACGACCAGTAAATTTATTCTTCAGAGAATTTCAATAATTATTATCCAATTTGTAGTATCTCCGTTCATCATCCAATCATGTCATGCAATTAAACCTGTTACACACAAACACATATACATACATATATATGTGTGTGTGCGTGTGTTTAGGCAGCAAATTCTCTTTTAAGCATGCCTGATTGAATAAATTACAGACATTATGTCTGATAATTTTTAATAAAATCCGTTCATACTCACGAATAACCTTCTGTGTATTGATGTTAAAGGATGAGACTGAATTAGTATAAGTATTTATACAAACATGCGCGTTGTTATCCATTACCATATTTTTTTCATTAAGCTTTTAAATGCAAAACGGTTGACAATATGCCCAGCGTTCATTAGCACGTGAAAAAATTATCCATTATGGAATTTTTCCCCTCTATGTTATAATGGTATGGTCACGCGCGCATTAAAGCATGAAAAAACTGTTCCTTTACAGGCATTTCAGAAGATTACTGCAGTATTCATAGTTGATTCTGTTCAATGCCGGCTTTAATTGATAACAATGCACATCTTTGTATAAATTCTTATACCAATGAACAACATATAGTTTTGTACCACTTACACCCCTGAAGATGATCATGGAAAAAGATCGAAAGTACTTGGAAAATGAAAATAAAAGAAATTTAAACAGCTATAGCACATTTCTCTCATCCTTTAATATCAATACACGGAAGGAATGGATTTCATTAAAAAATTATATATATATATATATATATATATATATATATGCATTGTTATAAAGTAGATTTAAATTTGACCCGTCCATATTTCTTATGACTATATATTTCTCAAGGGGTCCTAAGATTTTCATGTGGCTGTAAGTTTCTTTAAGTAATGCTAAAACTTTGGTCCACTTTTGTCTACAGATATGACTTTAAGATTAGCTCATGTGTCATCAAATAGAGGTCTGGAATGTGAAATCAATGAGCGGCGTTCGAATTCCAAATGTGTTCGTTACATTCACTTACGCTCAAATACTCTTAGAAAGTTATAAAACCATGTCTTCTCCCCCAACCTATGGGTAAAATAATAGTGCGTGCGTCTTGAAAAGTCACTGTTATTCTCAAAAAGCTGTTAATGCAAAAGTGAATTATTGTTACACTCCAATAGATTCGTTAGTTCTCTATAGCTTATCCAGTTTTTACAGTTTATTTAAAGCCAGAAACTATTTTTAGATTGTAAGAATATATTTTGGTGATAATAATGGTTTACAAGTCTTACTAATTTCTTCTTTTAATTTCTTCTGCTTAATCAGTAGGTTGATTGATTGATTCGTTTTTTACGGCTTACCAATCCTTTGCAGGTTATTTAAAGCCAAAAAATGTTTTAGATTGTAAGAATATATTTTGGCGATAAGAATGGTTTACAAGTTTTACTAATTGCTTTAATTTCTTCTGTTTAATCAGTAGATTGATTGATTCGTTTTTTACGGCTTATCAACCCTTTGCAGGTTATTTAAAGCCAAAAAATATTTTTTAGATTGTAAGAATATATTTTGGTGATAATAATGGTTTACAAGTCTTACTAATTTCTTCTTTTAATTTCTTCTGCTTAATCAGTAGATTGATTGATTGATTCTTTTTTACGGCTTATCAACCCGTTGCCTGTTATTTAAAGCCAGAAAATATTTTTTAGATTGTAAGAATATATTTTGACGATAATAATGGTTTACAAGTTTTACTAATTTCTTCTTTTAATTTCTTCTGCTTAATCAGTAGATTGATTGATTGATTCTTTTTTACGGCTTATCAACACTTTGCAGGTTATTTAAAGCCAGAAAATATTTTTTAGATTGTAAGAATATATTTTGGTGATAATAATGGTTTACAAGTCTTACTAATTTCTTCTTTTAATTTCTTCTGCTTAATCAGTAGATTGATTGATTGATTCTTTTTTACGGCTTATCAACACTTTGCGGGTTATTTAAAGCCAGAAAATATTTTTTAGATTGTAAGAATTTTTTTTTTTTTTTTTGGCTAATAAATATTTACGTATTAAATTACTAATTAAACCAGAACCGGGGAAGAGGTAGAATCGTGCTTTTCGCAAAGTTACTTCAATAAATGAACAAAATTACGGGAATTGGAACTCGGCTCTCCGATTAACAATTCCGAGCATTACATCCAAGCTTACAGCAATTGGTGTTACCAAGCGGCCATTCGTCTATGTACAGACTTAAACTTTAGTGACCATCCGGAAACCGGCTTTCAACGTCATGCGATCGTAAGCCCATTATGATTATTTTACCTGCACATTCAAGCTTACAACACCTAGTATTCCCAAGCGGTTACTTCTCTAGGTACTAACCAGGCTCGGCGTTGCTTAACTTCGGTGATCGTTCGGGAACATGTGTTTTAACGTCATATGGCCGTAACCCATTATGCCATTCGCAAATCAAAGCTTACAGCCCCTAATATTTCCTAGCGGCCATCCAGCTAGCTACTGGCCATTATCGACGTTGCTTAACTTCGGTGATCGTACGAGAACTAGTGTTTCAACGTCATGTAGCCGTAAGCGTCAATCTAAAATATTTTTCTATATTAAATAAACCACAAAGCGATTGATAAACTGTAAAAACAGAAAAACAAATCAATCATGTCTTTTATTCTGAAATGTAATCTCTTGTTTCCTTTTTCAGTGCTGACGATTACACAAACGGTTACATGCAGGCTCTCACCATGGTCCACAGTGATGGGTCTGTGTTTTGGCCGCCTATCGTCAAATTAAGAAGTACATGTAACATTGAGATCACTTACTTTCCATTCGACGACCAGATATGTCGAATGAAACTTGGATCATGGGCTTATGACGGTTATCAAGTGGACGTTCATGACAGCGCCAAAGCGATCGACCTGGACAATTATGTGTCGAACGGCGAATGGAAACTCGTCGACGTGAAGGTAAGTAACTGAGTGAGTCAGTAGTTCACTTTTGAACCGACTGCTCGATTCAACTCTCTTCGTACGGACGGGAGGAACCCGAAGGAGGCTACGCCGAAGGTCGGAGTCTCCTTCGGGGAGGTAAAACCGGCCCTGAACCCGTTTATACGGGTTCAAATGGGCTATTTTTTGGCCGAGCCTAATGGCTCGGGAATGCCCACGTTAAAAAGGCCTTGTGCCACATGACACCCTCGTGGGGGGGTGACTCAATATCGTGAAGGTAAGTTAACCCATGGGCTCAATAAAACGTCTCTAGATGTTATAAGGTGTCTACTTTTGTTGAGATGTTGGGAGTGTTCCCGCGTGTGTGTATTCAAATAAAGACAAACACAGATGTAAGGAAAAATACTGGTATATTTGAAGAGGTATTTAACAACAGAGTGATTATTAATAACGAACGCAGGTTAGTAATAACAATTAGCAAGAGTCTAAAGTCCAACGGTATCTTCCGGTCGAGAGACAGAAGTGCAATGATCTCGTGATCTCCACAGAACGTGATGAACAGATCTCGTCTGATCTCTCTAGCACTGACCTATATCGTAGAGGGATCAGTCCATTCTCAGTCAGATGGTGGGTGCGCCCCAACAACTTTTCTAAGAATAGGAACTTTTTTTATATGGCTCTGATAAGCTTCCTTCTTTGGTAAGAGAGCAATAAACTGCATCTACAGAGAACATGCTACATCGTCGATGATAACTCATCGGTTCACCATTACCATTTCTAGAGGTTACTGAATCTTCTCGTCAGTAGTGGAGGTTGACGGACAACCTGCTCCTTCTTCGTGAGTCAAGCATGTCCGGCCACTTTTAAACGTCTCGATTGGCTCATACACACACTCCTTCACGGTAGTGAACTGTCGACGCACTGTGTTAAAAACCTCCGATTAATTTCAGCCACTGACACACCTTCGGACCAGAGAAATCGGATCACTCTTTGTTCCGCCATGGTGCACACTGCTAGCGGAGCGACTATGTTTACACTGTAACAGCAGCAAAAAAAAACTAGTGCAATCAGGCTCAAACTTCTATCACGTGTTCACAATAGTACCATTTATGGGCACGCATGAGCAGAAGGCAATGTGACAGACCTAAATGTGTTATGACGAAAGTGTTGGTAATTTTTGACTTACCCTCGTAATTATACATGATATATATATATATATATATATATATATATATATATATATATATATATATATGCCAAATTCATGAGGAAATAGAAAAGTTTAGACCAGATAAGATTAGAAAAATTTTAGAAGCCCATGATATTAAATAGATTCTACGCCTAAAAACGCTCAATCCAAACGGGCTTAATCACAAAAATAGAATTAATGTATAACTCCACAATTTAAGCCCAACCCACATTTCCCACCCACACAAAACATACATGCTTTCGGAGGTGTTGAGGTCTCACACTTATACACACACCCATACTAATATACACACTTACACACATCATACTCACTCACTACCTAAAAACCAAATAACACACACACACTTAACAGAGACACATCCCCTTTCCAGGAACTAATAAAACTGTCAAAATGACCAAGGGAATTCAAAGCAGCATGAATCCATCCAGCCATTATCTTAACAACTTAAATGAGACTATTTGACCAACACAAGGTCTGACAAAAATTCATGATAAGAAATAGAAAATAAACAGATGAAAACTACAAATAAAGTTCATTTTCTCCATCAAGTTATTAATTTCTGTAGTTCATTGCTACTAACAAGCAGAATTTTTTTTCCTGATGATGGCCAATGATGGCCGAAACTAGTCGAGGAATCTAATTGAAATTATAAAAATGAAAGAATATTAATATACAACCCATTGTGTCTGAAGATTTTAATTTTTTAATATTCTTTATTGTTCAAAACATATATATGTGACAAGCCTAAAGATATGTTATGGCGAAAGTGCGAATAATCTTTGACTTACTCAAGTATATTGCTGCTGTCGACGTATATATACCTTTTCAAGAGGCCGCGTCTCTGCTGTTAACCAACTAGTGTTCACTGCTGTTTACTGCCTAACGTAGACATAATAGGGTACAATATGAGCTATTTTGGGACGTACTTTTATCTTAATATGTGTTGGACGTGTCGTTAATTTAGTCTTTACTGAAGCGTACCCTGTCGAAACCAAAATGGCGATGCTCATGAGAAATACGCACGAGCGTTTTTAAAATCATTTATTTCCAATAAATTGAACTATTTTTCCCCAAAAAACATACCATCAGAGCCAGGAAACAATGCTATAATAATGTCCCGGTGAAAGTATTAATATATATATATATATATATAGACAGACAGACAGACATTTAAAAGGAAGACTGAAAACATCCGCACCTAAATGGTATACACAAAAAAGTGCTCACTACAAAATTCAAAATCGAATATGTAGAACAAATATATTTAAGAAAAGGTTAAAATGCCAATCAAACTTGCAACCCGGGTTTCGACCGTGAGGTTTCTCAGGCAAGTGGAAGGATTAAATAGGTAAGTTTTGTCGATCTAATCCGTTAAAACGTATATGCAAGTATTTATTAATATATTCATATATATATATATATATATATATATATATATATATATATATATATATATAGTTTATGCAAACTTAGGTAATCCGTATGGGTAGACCTGAGGAGGATGATATCCAGAGGGCTCAATGTAAAATTCAGAGCAGATATGTTTGAATAAAAGACAGACCACGTTAAGATTCCATGTAATAAGCTATTTCACCATAACCCCTTTAACAGGACTGGGGTTAAAAATAGGAAACTGAAATGATACATATGAAATACTCATATCCTCTCTCCCACCTCACTCCCTCACAATTTTACGTATACTTGATGAGGTCCGTCAAAAACGTGTGAATTTCTTTTCATTTTTCATTTCAGTTTTTGGAAGTAAAGTCTGATGATCCAGAAAAAAGTTAAAGGGGTTATGGTGAAATAGCTTATTACATGGAATCTTAACGTGGTCTGTCTTTTATTATATATATATATATATATATATATATATATATATATATATATATATATATATATATATATTCAATTTTTGTTACATTTCAATAGACGGATAAAAGTAGTTGTGGATCCATGAAGAATTTATGAAGAAATGTATAACGAAAGTTTAATATGTTTCGTTGGCATTTACCTACCTACTCACTGTAACAGGATGGGTTGCATGGTTGACTTAATTTGGGTTGCTTATACGCGTCTATATGGACCAAGGACAAAAGATGACCAGTTCTCGCGACTAATGTCACACTTGTATCGGTATCTGAATGGCATTTCACAGATAATAAAGAAAAATATGCGCACTCATGGTCGCCTTCATCCTGAAGGGACGCGGCATTAAAAAGAAAATTGATATCGTTAACCTACTTGATAATGACTAGCAATGATCTAAGTACTCGAATAAAATATTGTGTACTCTGTTAGAGTACTTCCCACATTGCACTAAAAAGGTGGATTCTACGTGCCATGCCTTTGGATATCTTAGTTTTGATTAATTGCCCTTGATAGTCAATCGACGGGCCATGTGTCCTCATGGACCTAGTAGATAAAAGCGTTAGTTGATTGATCCAAAAGGGACTTCACCCAAAACATTGCGAGTTCAATCCCTGATCACAGTCGAGAAAACAAAAACTTGACGAGTTATCAATGAGAATTAACTAAAACTTAGATATCCAAAGGTATGTCACGTGGAATTAGAACAACCTACCCTGTGGATTAAATAAAGGGTCCGGTTTGAAATTCCAACAAATATCACCTGAAGAAGGCCGGAGCGTACAACGGCCAAAACGTTGTGAATATGACAATAAAGATGACGATAACGATCCAAACAATGTAAATGGTGTAATGTTATATTCCGTGCTAATAGGAATATATACTTGAAAAACACGGTAAAGGTTTCTTGTAAAAACCAGTACAATAAGAATAAAGGTAACAGTTATGCACAAGGTCGTCGCAAGTCAATCCAGTAGTGAGTGCTACTATTGGAATGTCGGTAGTTCTCGCGTAAATCAAAGTCGTACTCAACAGATCCCAGCTACAAATATTTACCAACCTCCCCACGGGGTAGGATGTGGCATAAGGCCAAATTTAATGTGGGGTGATCCGAGCCCGTAGGCTCGGCCAAAAATTCTCTGTAAACCCCGCATAAACGGGTCCGGGTCTGTCTAGCTCCGCGGGCGAAACTCTACCCTTCGGCATAGGCTCGTCTGGGTCCCTCTCTGCCCGAAGGCAAAGAGTTCGACTGCAGCTAACAAGTGAGTAACAGATCCTAACTTAGTCCGTTGACTTACTGATACTTATAGGTAATTACTACCTATAGTGTAGTTACTCATGGGGGTAACAGGTTATTCCATTACATCATGTAAATACTTCTTTCTTTTCTTTTATTTTTTTTTTATTTTTTTA